AGTCAGCCCATCGACAGCAAGGTGCATGCAGAAAAGCCACCAAAACCTTAGGTGTAAGCTTCACGTGCCAAATGAAAATCAGCATTTGCCATATAATTTCCAATGTATAAAGCACTGCAAACAGATAATCAAAGTTGGCAATCTACGTTAGTTAAGAACCAAACAGCTATTTGTTGCTCCCAATATGGTAAGCACCAGGAAGTCACAAAAGAGAAGTCAGAATGGAGAAGTCACGATTATAACAAAAATCAAAAAAGGGAAGACTAGCAATAAACTTTACAGCCAACAGGGGAAAGAAGAAAAAAAAATAAGAAAACAAGAAAGAAAAAAAAAAAGAGGAGAGAGGGCAGAGGAGATCCAAATTACCTGGAATATTTAAATATTAGGTTAACTTACGTTCCATGCAATAACGGATCGAAAGGTGGATGCTGGGCTCCATACACATGTTGAATACTAAAGGAAAAGAAAGAGAGTTGTCACAAAAACAATAAAGACATTTGGGGGTTCTCTGTGTATTAAATAGCTAATAATAAACAGAACGGAAATGTTCCAAGAATTTTCCATTTCAAAGAATTCCACATACCACTAAAAATAATGAAGCCGAAACTTAAATGTATGCTAAAAAAGTAATTGAAATAAAATCATTTGCCAAACCAGAGCTCTTTTTGAGGCCTAGAGTAACTTAGGCTGACTTATTTTTTTGACCATGAGTTGAAACAAGGAAAAAAAGTTAACTGCAATAAGAATTTACAACGTTTTTACATTATTTTTCTCTTTTTCGATTTACCATTTCCTCATTTATCTCTTGCAAGAATATAGAAATTCTCAAAGAAAGTCTGTAAAGATTTAATCTTCTAAGCACCTTTGTCACCCAAAATCCAATCAGTCAATTCTTAACTGTTACTGAAGTATAATGCCTATAAATTCAAAGAAAAATGCAAAAGATGCCACGCTAAAGAAAAAAAGCCATAGGAAGATTAAACCCAAATGTTTTGAAATAAATAAGCTTCCAAAGACAGATTTATTCACAACAATTTCTAACAAAACAGGATAATACTGTGTGACTAGTAGAAACCATGTAAAAGAAGACAAACATGCCCTCTGGCAAATCAAAATCAGACCATAAATAAGTCTGATCTGAGTAAACCTGAGACAGAACCAAACCAAAAAGACTGCAGTCACAAATTCTGAGAGGGACTTATGCTACAGAGGCAGCATTAACAGTAGTGAAATTAGCCCTAGAGATGGTTGAAAGTGGTGGTTTATCAACTCTTACTATCGATTTTTATGTGCTTCCCTGCAAATCAAAAAGTCAGTCCACCACCACCCTTTCTACATGACCGTACACCACAAGCTCTACAGGCAAGTCTCTGTGCCCTCCTCTGCGCTCACATGAGGGTCAGAACTCATTTTCCATTGTGGCATATTGACAGACTCTGCCTTCTCCTTCTCCACTCTACAAATGATTGTGATGGGAATCCAGTCAAATACAAAGCAAAGACAATGCTCTCCACATCATAAAAAAAATAATAAATAAATAAGGCATATTCTCCACAATGCCCTCATTTTTCCACCTGTCTGCAGTTGCCTGCAAATTAATTACGCACACCTATTCATAGACCCTGTGTAAGCAAGGAGGGTCAAAAATGTTTTACCTCCAAAGGCCTCAGCAAAGTTACATAATGAGAAGTTTAGAGAGACAGTTAGAGTTGGACTCAAAAGTGTTAGCTTATAACTTGAGAAGCAAAACTACTACCAGTTAGCGTTTACGGGTAACTGAGAAAGGAAGAAGTTCACTGATGAGCTGGATTACTTTCCTGAATTCAGGGTCAATGGTGTGAAGTATCTACTGTTCTCAGTTCCTGTTCTCTGAGAACCAAGAACACCCATCATACTTATGAAAAAAGAACATAAGAAACTGAATTATTGTATTGTGAGATCAATTTAGGCATAGGAGCAGAATATTAAGTAACCCCCTGAACATGTGTTCCCCGTCCGACAAAATGTTCAAAAGCAATGGGACTTCAGGGATGGATTCGCTGCAGGTTTTGAGCAAGAGGATGTTTGTAGCTCTCAGCAACGACACAAAGACTGGGTCTGCTGTTCACGCGTACAGAAGAAAGTTGAGACATTTGCGATATTTCAACACATCAAGCAGAAACTACATCATAGCTGTATGCCCACACAGAGCAGCTCCCCGAGCAGTGCCTCAAAACTCCCTAACTTGTATCAAGTCACAAAACGACGTAACTTACAGCATTCGTAGGAGGTACAAATACCTTTCCACACCCACAGTTTTCCAGGGCACACTTCCCCCAAATCCCGCTGACCGGGGCCCAGCGCCGGGCTGGACAGGCCCGTTCAGACCCTGATTTAACGACTCCTCCGACAGGGGCTATGGCGGACGCTCACTGGGACCGCCAGGTCACCGGAGCCGCCCAACACCAACACGCTCCGCACACCCGAGGACGCCACGAACACCGACCGGCCGGACCGCTCCCTACGGGGGCCGCAGGCG